AAAAAAAAAAAAAAAAAAAAAGGGAACATAGGCCCTTAGGGCTGCATTCCTCACACCCCCGCGGTAGACAATGGGCTCGACTGTCTGAGTCAAGGTGGCACTTTTTGGGCAGAGGGCGACCTGTGCTATGCAAACCTCACACCCCGTGCAACGTCCCATACTCGTGGGATCACCGATCAGAATAAATTGGGTGTGGCCGAGGATTTTGGGCAGGCGTTTGAACCGCCAAGGCGAAACTAGGGTTCTCGCCTCAGATCCGAGGGTCTCTCAGGGGACACCGGCCAACCAGGATAATTTCAAAATTGCAAGACTTAGATGATGGAAAGGGGTAGGACCTCCGCAAAATCCTCGCACTAGACTTAGGGGCAAAGATGCAAACTCAATCCCACCCAAGAATTAAAAGCAAAACTCCACAAAAGGCAACGAATCTAGCGCCTACTCTATCTCAGGTTCACGCCGCCCTTTTCGTGGGGGCCAAGGAGAAAGCGGGCACTTTATGCATCCGATGAGGGCCCACGAGGCCCATCACATCGACCCGAATCCTCATTATCCGACAGGGGTGGGAGCGGAGACAAACATGTCTGGAAGTTCGTTGGAAGAGCTCCCGCATTACGGGAGAGATCTGGGAACCGATGGACCCCTCGTACCCCAACACTAACCTCTGCCAGGAATACGAGTTCCCAAGTTGGCACCAACGACAGTTAAATTGGGGCTTCCATGTAGCGTGCGTTGTAGACCAAGGGAGCACTGTTGAATTGGTGTACGACAAAATCAAGAAGAATGAAGCAAACCTATCAATCAATGCAAATTCGACTCTCCCTATATAACATGCCTTGGGTTGTAGAAGTGCACCCGATCGGTCCGCAGTAGCGCCCTCCGCACATCCGCATCACAGTAACGACCATCTTTGTCCGACTCTACAATGGGAAAAGGAGGAACGTCGCTATGGCGAATCAATGTAAGGTTCGAGCATGTGCACTTACCCTCGTTCACACTCAATTAGGCAAACCTCGACTCCATACAATTTTCAACTTATCCCACACAGACCCGACCTCCTATCAAAATGCAAGTTGATTATGTGTGGCCACTCCGAGCAAAATTGCCAATTTGACATAAAGACGATAGTCGGGACCCCGATGTCACTGGTAGCACAAGGAGATTGACATGTGGCGCTTGCGTGCAAGGACAAGGGGAAGAGAAAGGTTGGCTAGGATCTTGCACGCTCGTTGAGCTCTGTCACCCGGTGAAACTCTTTGCTAATTTCACTGAACAATATTTTGGATAGTTATGATGATGTGACAATTATCCTCACCATACCTGCCAACACTAATCGGCAAGCCAACTTGAACAAACAGTTCCTCATCACAAGGATTGACAAAACCTCGCTCGTAGACCTGACGTGGTTCTTGAAACGATTCCAGACTTTCACCCTTAAGTTGGAGCAATATCTGGAGCCAACAGTGCACCTTGTGGCATTCGATGGTAGTGCCCTCTTAGAGTACTGCAAAGGATGTGTTGCAGGAGAAGTAGATAATGGAGGACCTTCATATTACTGCAGCTTTACTCGATCTTCGACAGAATGACAGGCTGGACCGTTTCGGTTTGTCGGAACCCCAGGTTGAGTGCCAATAACCCTGAGATTGACAAAAAAGGAAAAAAGCGACACAACCAAAACAACAGTCTTGTTAGGGCCCAAGTTTCAAATGCAGTCGTGTGAGCAAAATAGTCGCTCTCGGTGCAGTCTAGTCACCCACAAGGTAGGGTGGAGTAGAGGTTGTGGTCCCATTGAAACTACACACCTCTTTAGTTTCTTTCGGATACGAACGCACTGCTACCATGTGAAGCAGGAGACCTTCCCGGGCCCCTGCTGTGGCAAAAAAAAGGGATCTCTCTCTCTCTTTCTCTCTCTCTCTCTCTCTCTCTCTCTCTCTCTCTCTCTCTCTCTCTCTCTTTCTCTCTCTCTCTCTCTTATCTCCACCATTTGAGTTTTTGTTGGAATTAGTCGGGGGAAAAGAGCATCAACACACTCATACACCCATGCAGACGTCCAAGACCCAATGACCCCAAATGCACACCCATGCGAGCAAATATAACAAGGACAATCACACAGTCCTCAACCATTCATACATTCATAGACTTTCTGACAAAGAAGCACTCAACACCCATAAACACTTGCGATCAAAGTCATGCGCATGACCAAGTATCTACACTCAGTCTACAACACACACGACACTTGGACAAAGTTGCGATGGAGAAGAAGCGAGTTCCTTGCTATTCAAAATCATACACAACTTTATAGCACGAAAGGTAGCAGTGCACGGGTGTCTTATGTAGGAAGCGAGAAGTGCAGATGAAGGAACAAAACAAGGAAGGAACTGGAGAGTCGAGAAAGGCAAGATGATCAAATTTTTTGTACAATTAAGGTGGTCGTTCAAGCTGCTTGCGTAAGTTGGCTCTTACAACTTGATCGAACCAACTCAACTATCGACCAACCAACTGCGTTGAAGGATGAAGAGGGAGGATGAGACAAAGAGAGGGAGGAACACGAAGAAGTGCGCGTAAACGAAAATCGGGCAATAAAATAAATCGGTGCGCGTGTGCAAGAATTGAAGACTGGTCGCGCACACATATTGACAAAAGAAAATAAAAATACCCTCAACCGAATTCATAACCGTTTTTTTTAAGTTCTCATGCGGTCACTAATTGGCCGTGCAAGATTAATTTGAACAAGGATGAGGACAAACCCGAAGGATATATGTAGATGGCCATAAAAAAAATTGAAACGGA